TATATATATATATATTTGTATATATATAAAAATATAAATAAATAAATAAATAAATAAATAAATAAATATTTACAGTTACTTACATTGTTCTTGGCTGGAACATTGCTTGGTTTGCCACAAGATATAACATCTTAGCCAGAAACAGAAATATCTGTACTTCCTCTTAAAATGATCCTTCTGGGGCCTACTGACCTAGTTATTTACTACTTTCAATTGTAAGCTCTTAACTACCATAATTATAAACATATGTGGGGCTTGTTTGTTGATTTTGGTTTGTGTTTACTGAGTGTGTCAGATGAACTTCTATCAAGACCCTGAACTAGCATTGATTAAAGTCATTTGGGGATGATACGTTCTTCCCCAGAGTGATTTATTGTTGAAAATAAACTAATTGAGATTCTACTCCATAACGTGAAAGACTTTGTGAGGACTTGAACATAAGAGCACCTCCTCTTTTCTGAGGCTAACAAAGGGTAAGGACGTTAATTTATTTAGGGCAGATGTGGTCATCAGCCTACACAGGCCATAAGCAGAGTTGTGAACTAGACAAACTATGTCTCCATGGTGCCTGCACCTCCTTTCCATGCTTTATTTTGGTACCTCCTCACCTAGGTACTGATGCCTAGTGTGATTCAGCCTGACAGGTAGGGCTCAACATTGCCAAGTATGTCCAGAGACAGGCTTCAGATCCAAACACCTTCCCAGTTTTTCTTCTGATGAAACTTAGCCATCCTTTGTTTACACCTCAGGGACTTGCTTTCCCTGAGATTGACCCCACAAAGCAATGATTTCATATGTTGCTGGACCTGGAGTCCCTCCACATGTTAACACGTTGTGCCCGCGGGATGGAGATTGATGTCAGAGAAAGCACCTTCTCCTTGTTCTTGTCCTTTTGTGGTACAAGCCAGTGTAATTGAACAGGACATTAGGAGACCTGAAATCCTTACTCTTTCTATCAATTGGGCAGTCATTTCTGCCCTTCTTTTCTCTCCTTGCTTTGAAAAGAAATGAAACCATTGAATTCAGACCACACAAGCTTATTGACTCCTACTGGGTTTATAGATTTGAAAGTGTGAAAAAACATTTCTGAACTCCCAAGAGAAATGTGGTTTATCCAAGATGTTATTTTAATGGCAAAGTTTGTCATGCTCAGAATGGGGTGCTGTCAAAAGTCAACAGACCTGGAAAAATGTAAATAAATCTTGAGAGAAAGAAAATCCCTAGTTTAGGAACCATAACA